GATTGACCCTCCGTTTCACTCTCAATGGTGCTTGAAGGGTAAGCAAAAACCAAGATGTCAGCACATTGTTTATTCTTTAAAATCATCACCGCCTTCGTGCCTTTGTTTTTTCCCATTCGTTCCCCTTTCTGTGTGTTTGTAAGCTAGAAAGACCCTGGTGCACACTTTTGTGCTAAGCATTTTTATCACTCACTTGGAGAAATACCCATGCATTTCCAAGTGCAGCATGATATCTTTGTAGGAGGCCATTGGCAACAAAAACACCATGGGTCTGTGTCTCGTGTTTGCAGAGAGATGGACGGCATCGGGAACAACATGCAGAAGAAGGCTGCAGAGCTGGAGCGGCTCGCCGAGGTGCTCGTCACCGGAGAACAGCTGAGGTAGGTCGTGTGACCCAGGGCAGGAATCAGGCGGACCCTGCGTGTGTTTGCAGGGCACACATTCAGTGGAAGCAGGGTCATCTGCAAAACTGACCACTACATTTACAACCATGACTGAGTAGCTACTAATAAATAAATCCTGTTAGTAAACAATCATTGTTTAGTTAGTCCTCAATGGTGTATATTTGTGTGGCTGAGATTTGTTTGAACAAGGAACTGTCTGGACAAAGTGGGGTGGTGTTAGCATGTTTGACAGTAGGTCAATCATCAAGCATTTTGCTCCCCCTCACTGCAAACTGGCACTAGAGGCAGGTCCACCGCAGGATAAGACAAAGTCGTCCACACATGCACCCCTTCCCGTGCACATGCTGCTCCTCACCTACTGTGACGTGCACATTTCAGCCTGAGGCATTGTTAAGGATGTTGTTTTGCTTTATACAGGACTGAACACATGACTCATTTAGGTTGCTTCAGTAATAAAATGCCCTTTGAGCTGCACATGGAATGACCATCCTAGTAATCATTATCATGCCCTGCCCATTCCTATCAGGGAATTGTATGGCTAACCTTGGCAGAGTTGTTGACATACATTTGGCACCCTTTGACCTACTGTACTCAAAGAAAGGCTCCAAAACCCCGGTGACGTTCTCTGGCTCATGCTCCCGCGAATGAATAGAGGCTCAGTAGGTAAAGCATGGCACCAATGCCAGGAATTTCAGCCCTCGGCTAAACTATGAGGAAAATACGGCACTAAATTGTGCTTTCCTTCTGGGTGGGATACACTGTTAGAGCTTTGGCTGTCTCTGAAGAAGTACCCGCTGAAGCATGGTTCTATTCTGAAGGACCATAAAAAGTAACACTAGTCAACACCTCAAGAGATTAATAGTTTGTGCCTGGATACTTCTTTATTGAACACTCTTAGCATTGGTTTATGTTTTCTGGGTGTCATCATGCACTGTGTGTGCTTGTGTTAGTGTCCCTGGCACAGCTGTATACTGAGGCTGCCAGCTGGCAGTGGGGCCTCTGCCAGTGAACGATGGGTAGGGCGGGCTCGCTATGCCAGAGTCCTTTGCCATTGAGACACTGCTGTTCTGGGGGAAAGGGCTCAAGGATGTGACATACGGGTCTCACTCCGTGTCTCTAAATCTCAGTTTTTCTGCCTTTTGTGCATACATTGCAGTCCAAGAGCTTTATTAGTCATGCTGCTTGCATGACTCTAGCGATGGGGATTTAAAAACTCCTGTTCCTTTCTCCAAATATTCCAACAACTATTGGATTGATGGCAAATGAAACTTTGTAGAACTTGTCATGCCCCGCTCAGGGTGAATTGTAATAGTTTCTGTGTTCTCTTAAAGGAATAAGAAACGGTTATTTTAATGTCCGTCCCTTTTTAATATTTCTAGCACTACCATCAGGCCAAAACGGTATTTGTCTAATGATTTGTTTTTTGGACAACACGGCTGCAAAACAATAATTCTTCCATAAGCCTTGGCTGTACTTTGGTAAATATACCTCCTTAACATCAGTATGTTTCATTTTAGTTGTGAGCATTTATAGTTATTTTTTCTATTCCTTTCTATAGTCTTTCATTGATTTTGTTTGTAGTTACAGTCTCCAGTTCAAATACTGACTGGAAAGTTTAATCATTGATGCTCTTCCTCATCGATTCACCATGAATCACTGCTTTTATGTTATCCTTTGGTTTAAATTGTTATATCAGGCCAATTATTGTTATGCTGACATACATAAGGGACTAAGAAAGTTACAGTCGTTACATTTTGTGAACTGTAGAGTTCATTAAAATACAATTTGACATTAAATAAGACAAAGCTCGTACAAAAGCTAAGAGTGAACATAATCCACACCTTTTGTTTGATCATGTTAGTTCCTGGTACTGATAAGAGCATGCTGTCTGTTTTGTAGCCTCTTATCACACATTTGTGATTTGTGTGACCATCATAGCAACTGCTTGTACTGTAGTGCAGATCTGTTTCAGGCACTGCGTTGAAACAGACAGAAAGACAGAAACCATGACCCACAGACACACAGCTGCTGTAGTAAGGCTTGTGACCAGTTCATTGCTGTGAATAGACCGTTTGTTGCGCTAGCATGACTGTGATAGAGAAAAAGGCTTTGTGAATGTTTGCAGCCTGGGGCCTCATCATGGTCATACTGGGAGCCAGAGATTCATTCAGAAACTCTGTCGCTTCTCATTGTTTTATCCACACCACACATTTAGGAAGTTCTATAACAGAGAGTGACCAACACAGCGAGAAAACCTTCCACAATGAGCATCGTGTAACCAAAAAGCTACATGGATGATATTGCTTCCAGCTCTAATTAAGACATAACTCAAAAGTGGAGGAGGGGGAAAAGATGATGCTGGACCTGATTGGAAGTGAAATCTGTTCAGCTGATCTTGTTTGTGGGTCTCAGTGCAGGATTGGACCAGGCTGTCACTGCTAATCCAAAGAGATGCTTGCCAGCTGCACACAGACTCAGCATGGAGGGGGGCTAGCTAGCTGCAGGAAGCTCAGCTAAAGGCTGTGGTGGGCTGTTTCACAATAATCACGGTCAGGAAGAGGTCCGCTTGATGTGAAACCTGCATCTAGGCCATCTGTAGAGGCAGTAGAGGGTTATCCTGTCTCCATGCAAATAGTGACAATATAAATTCCAGCAGCCGGTGTTTGAATGCCATGCTTTCACCTTGAGCCTAGTGGAGTGGTTTGCTCTGTCTAGTAAAATGTAAATATAGATTTGACCTTGTATTAATGTTCAGTTTGTTCTTAGGTAAATATTTTCCCCTTGTAAACAATATTTATATAATATATATATATATACAAGATATTGTTTGAATATATATATATATATATATATATATATATACACTTATTTACTAGTAGAATGACAGCCAACTTTAAGACCTTGAAACTGTTGTCATTACTTTCATTCTATTTTTTTGGTAAATGTTGTATTGGATATAGAATTATAGTCTTTTTCCTTTTAACTGACAACAAAAAATAACCTTTGTATTAAAGATGACAATGCTACTGGTATTTGTAGTGTGTATGTATATTGAAAATATATAAAAATGGTTATATATAAATAAATAGGTGAGAAGTGAATGAAGAAAATAAGAATATTTACTTTTTCAGGAGGCAATGTTATTGGAGAGTAAAAGTACTTTTCTAATAAAACAAAAACATAACATCTCGAAGCCGCAGGGAAATGTATGGAGCCTTATTAGACTTTCCATAGAAGTAAAATAGACTGTCTTTCCAAGAGAGGTAAAGGGTATTACTTCTTACATTGAAAAAAAAAAAAAAGGCCCCATATACAATATCGCTCTAAAGGGCACATCTTGATCTCATTCATATAATCACCAGGAAGTTTTGTTAATGCTATTGCAATCAAATCAATAATTTTAAAAGGGTAATGTATTTTGCTGATAAAATCAAATGTTTAGCAGAAGAATTCTCACTAATTAATTTTCTCCTCAGGCTGAGGCTCCACGAGGTGAAGGTGATCAAGGATCGGCGGCACCACCTGCGAACTTACCCAAACTGCTTTGTGGCCAAAGAGCTCATCGATTGGCTGATCGAACACAAGGAGGCCTCCGACCGAGATACGGCCATCACGATCATGCAGAAGCTTTTGGACCAGAGCATCATTCATCACGGTGAGGCTGAGTGAGGTGTTAATCTTGTGTGGTATTCACTTATATTGTTGTTTCTAATTTCTGTAACAACTAGGGTTTCTCTGTCATTCTCTTTTTGTCTTGGTTTACACTTTCTGCGAAAAACGTGTGCCTCTTAGTCGATGATTCTCTGTGCCTTTCATTAATGTTTCCCACTACCTGTTTCACATTTGACTAGCAGTGAAAACAGTGTCCAAAAGAGTGACTAAAGCGTCCTCTTTAGTTAAAGTTTAGGCAGAGCAAATCCAATGTTAACTCATCCAAGCTGTGTTTAGGTTTCATTGACAGCTCAATACACAACAAATCTAAATTCCCATGACCCCTTTAACTTTCTATTTTCTACCATCATAAATTACACTTCACTGGTTATATCCTTAAGACTTACCCTCAAAGCACTTGTGTTTTCAGTGTGTGACGAGCACCGGGAGTTCAAAGACCTGAAGCTGTTTTATCGCTTCCGGAAAGACGACGGCACGTTCCCGTTGGACAGTGAGGCCAAAGTCTTCATGAGGGGGCAGAGGATCTATGAGAAGTATGAGCATATGCAAACACGACATGACACAGACATTTCTCTTTCACCTGTTTAGCATAAAGCTATGTAGGAATGTTATGAAACAGCTTTCTTGCCATGGGTTGGATAAGAAGATTGCACCACTTTTATATATGGATGATATTTATGACGTTATAGCAAGCTGCTAGTCTGCTTAGCTTATCATACCATCTGGAAACAAGGACATTTAGTTATGTGTTAGACAACTTTGTAAGCAGTACCAAATGACAGGTGGATTTGTGTGCTCTATTTGGACAGAGCCAAGCTAGATATTTCTCTTTTGATGCACTGATAAAAATACTGATATTTCCAGAAATATGCTTTACCTCCTCGAAGATTATACTATTGAAGGGTGAGGATGTGATGAAAAATGAGTAATGAAATCTCTGAACCAGTGTGTCGGAGATGCGGCTACCTTTTAATGTTTTGAAAATGTCTTGGTAAATTGAATTCTACTAGATTAGAGCGCATAGTTTGGAGCTTAACTGTCTTCTAACCATGATAAAAGCCTGCTGGGATCAAACAAACAGAAGATATTAGAAGCAGTTTGACAAGAGATGAGTCCTAACAGTTGTCCAGGGACACTGCAGAATGTGTTTATCTGAGGGCAGAGGACACCACTAATGGGACTGTTTATGTTTATCATCAGCTTTCTACCCATCATGTTGTTGTTCAAATAATGATATGACTAATTGTTGCTATAGTAACGTTTCCGCTCCTCTTATTGGGATCTGTACAGTTTTTGATGTAAACACACACTCCTTGCGCTTACGACTAACTAATAAGTTCAGCCCTTTTTTTGTAACACACACACACACACACACACACACACACACACACACACACACACACACACACACACACACACACACACACACACACACGCACACGCACACACACAGCTTGACTTCCCTACCCTGTACAACACATCCTGCCACCTCTGTCACATGAGAAAATACTATTCCTGTCTCTCTCTTAACACATACACATCCACTCTCTTACAAACAGAGGCATATTGTCCATATTTCTTTCTGAGAAAACACACATACACCCACACAAAGCAGTTGCATAAGCGGAAGAAATAGTCCAAGGGGAGACATCTGTCGTTTTAGCTCTCAAAGCTATGTGTTTATGTAATCACCATTGTGCAACCCAGGACACACACGCAAGAACACACACACACACGCAAGAACACACACACACGCAAGAACACACACACATGTAAGAACACACACACACACACACACACACACACACACACACACACACACACACACACACACACACACACACACAGCCCTCAAGCTTTCTCTGGTGGTTGCCTCCTTACAAACTAAACTTGCTTAATGATAACTCTTATTGCACAAGTAACATTCCAAACCATATCAAAGAAACTGACCATCTATTTAAGAATTGGTTTGCAAAGATTTAACAGAATTACTTCTAAAACAAAACTATTAGACCTGTTGTATTGTTACTCTTGAACAGAAATGCGGCTTTATTAGATGTCGGCCTCAGCTTTTAGGTCATACCCATAGACTCGAAAGTTGAATTTTTCTGTTATGGTCTATATATTGGTGCAAGCCTCTTTTGAGCCATGCTAGTTAGCTAAATGAATGATCATGTAGGTTGGTCACCTTCTTCCAGCCTAAAATACCGTGATGCACATTGATGTTTCCCTCCAAATAAATTGTAATAACTTTGATGTTCTATTTCGTATATGGCTTCGCCCTCTAAGGCTATCGCTATTGGGTAATCCCCCTGCGCCCCCGCGCAGCACTGAAACACTTGTAGTCCACGCCCACCCGCAAGGTGGGCCCCACCCTCGGGCCTCCTTCCGGTATAAATAGGAAAGAGGCCCGGCAATCTGCTCCCTCTTTTTTTCAGCAAACCAGCACAGTTACTGAAGCACAGCAATTGAGAATCATCATGAGCAACAACTGCGTCTGTGATTGTCCCTCATGTGGCTCTGGGTTCATAATGAGTTATGACCTGCAGAGATAAAAGCAGTATGCGAATCCTGCCGGGGGTCAGAGCACGCTTACGCGGCTCTAAACCAGCAGGTAGCATGCACTGCGCTCGTCTCCCCTCGGGCGACAGGAAGCGGAGAGCGGACACTCTTGCTGCTGTGGCCGAGGAGGACGATTGGCCCGTCCAGGCTTACGAGCACGCGGACGGGGCCTCGTGTCCCTGGGGCAGAGTGCCGGGCAGGAGTCCGAAGCAACTCCTGCCTCGCCTCCCTCCACGGCTCACCGTTCGGTTCTCCCCTCCCTCCTCTCCCCCGGACGGGGGAGACAGAGTCGGAGCAGGGTGCCAGCTTGGCGGCCGAACATGCTTTCCCCCTCTCCGTCACCACAGCGCGGCGGCGTCTGTTACGGAGACGGCCAGAAAAGTGCTACTGGACGCTCCAATCAGCCCGGACGGGCTGTTCGGACCCCAGTTCCACGCCATGGTGGAGTCCATGAAGACGGCCGCGGAACAGGTGGACGGCATTCGCCTGGATAGACAGCATATCGCATAGCAATGTACAGCCTGGCTCCAGTCCGGCTGAGCTGCCACAGCGGCCACCAACGCCCGCAGCCAGCCGCGGGCGTCCACGCCGGCCCAGGAGGCCACACAGGAGCCGCGCGGCTAAGCGAGGAGATCCGCCCAGAACAACCCCCCGGAGACGTCTGCAGGGGCTCCGTCCGTGGGCTACCCACGTCGCGCCACGCCCCAGAGACAGGGTCTCCCGGCCGGCCGAGTCAAATGGGCGTGAGCGACACACCGTTCCTCGGACCAGTCACAAAAAACCCACACACTTCCTGCGCAACGGACCGAGCTCCAAACAAAACAACATAAGCCGCGAGTTGAGAGCCTCCCCCGGCTCGCTGCGTACTGCTCCGCCGGAGAGCCTCAGAGGAAGCGCGAGGGCCCGGTCTAATTTATAGGCCGAGCACTGTCCTTAACCTAATTCTGATTGATCTAAGTAGACAGCAAGCGCTCCTCCTGGCCCCTTTCCAGAAGCCCTGCTGTTTAATCCTCTACATTCGAATAACCTGCCCCTAGATCGTCTCCCGGCCCTATCTCCTGTCCCCGAATAACTCCGCGTACACAACCACTAACTCACCCAGTAAATGAGCGCACAAAAAACGTATAACGCCTTCATGTGGGCGACAGCACTGCCACACACCTCCACTCATCCGTTTCTACTGAGCGTCACGAAATCGTACACGCCCTCATGCATGACAGCCGAGCTGAAACGCAGCGTTGAAGAGGTTCCTCGCAGCCCTTTCGCCTCACGCAAGCGAGCAGGCATGAGGCACTGGCGATGGTCGTCCACCATCTCGCCTGAACCATTTACAAGCCCACATCACAGAGAAGCCAGAACGGGGAAATATTGAACATAGTATTCCATGCTGAGTGCCCCGCCGGAAAGCGCCGCAAA